CAATGACGAATCTTCTACTCGAAGAATTATCTGAGCCTTTTGTCAAGTATAAGTGTTTCGCAACTATTTATGGTCAGTGACTTCGTTTCCACCCGTAGCATCAAGATAATCAGGGTTGGAAGTGTTTTATTTAGTTTGTTATTCGATGAGGGATTGGAATTGTAATGATTTAGCATGGGCGGTTTGTCGGGGAGTCAGGCCAATGTAGATTTTAGGTTTCAGAAAAGTATAAGTGGTTTTCTTCAGGGGCTAAGGATTTGTTCTTCTTCGATTTGGAAGTTTCTGTTTCGATTTCGTTGTCTTGGGAAGGTCGTTTTATGCTTATAATTTTTAGTTGTGTTCCTCAGGTGGTTTGGTATCATCTGTGTGTTAGTAAAGAGCGATTTCGAGGATGAAATATAAGTTAAGTGGGGGAGAGTTGTAACACTCGGTTTTAGATTTGCTTCATTATTCGGTTTTGCAGCCCAATCATCAATTTTCATGAGGCTTAGGGCCTTGGGGAAGAAATGATTTGGCCCTTTTCGGATGTGGGTGTTATGGTTTAAGTGGTCCAAGTGTTCGATGGTGTTTTTGGACCCCAAGGGTATAATCCTAATTTGATAACTTGGTCCTTTATGAAATTTGGGTTTTGTTCAAGAAGTTTTAAGGTTATGGTGAGTTGTTAGAAGCGTAGGGATTCTCGCCACCTTTCCATGGATATAAGGTTCATTGGAAACGTACCTAAGATGAAGAAGTTAGGGCAATTTGAAATAATGGCAGAAATGGTCCTAGTTGAAAAGATTTGCTAGATAGGTCCCATGCGTGCATGGTAAGTTGGCGCGTGCCTCGGTAAGTAGCTTGGGTACGCCCACCGTAATTGGCATAGTGTCAAAACCTAGTTTTCATGGCTTGTGCACTATTTAAATACACTTATAAGCTCAAGGCTCTCTCATTTCACAGCCTACATTGACCTGTAGCCTCATTTTGGAAACCATACTCTCATTGAATGTTTATGAGATCTAAGTGTTTATTTTGGTGTGTTTTTGCTCATTTTCAAGGAAAATGTGTTTGGTGCTATCTTGTGGTTCAAAGGAAGACTTATAGATCCAAACTCTTGGCTTCATTTCCAGCTCATTTAAGGTATCAAGTTCATATATTGGCTTCTTGTTATGCTTTATGGATTTAAGGCTAGATTTGTGCTTATTTTAGGGTTTTGACTCCTCCTTGTGAGTTTGAGCCACTCTAGGAGCTAAGATTGCTAGATCTTGCCCTTTCTGAGTTTGTAAGATTGTAAAAATGGTATCTTGATCCTTGCTTTTGGTCCATGCATGTTCTAGTTGGATTTATATGGGTCTTAATGGATTAAGATGGTTGTTGGGTCCCATTAAGACATGTAATTGCATAAAGGTGCCAACTTTATGCATTAAAAGCTTTATTTTAAGGTTCTTTGAAGTTTGGGTGCAAAGTGCTTAAGTGGTTAAGCCATAATATCAGTTCTAGAATAAGTCAGTTTACGATCCACGTAACTGACCGTAACTGAAGTTTGGGTGCAAAGTGCTTAAGTGGTTAAGCCATAATATCAGTTCTAGAATAAGTCAGTTTACGCCCCACGTAACTGACCGTACGCAGCGTACCAAGTTGTGGTCACGATCTGGATTCGTCGAGTACGCCCAATGTAACTGAGTGTACGCCCCATGTACACTGCTTAGTTGGGCTTTGGACTTGATGTGTTTTGGGGATTTGCATCTTTGGGCCACTCCTTTGGACTTTGTTGCTTTGGGCCTTTTGGGCCACCTGAGATCAACTTTTGGACTAAGGAAATTATTGGGCTTTAGGATAAGGCCCCTATGGGGGTTGGGCCCAATTTGGAAAATTAGGCCATAATTGTGGATCTTTTGGTTTTGGGCCTTTTCGATTTACGAATTTGGGCCTTAGTTTTGGTTCAAGTTGGGCCAGTGGTAAAATGGTCATTTTACCCCACGTATGGATTTTGGCATAAAGTGGAACCCAAGTGTTAATTGGGTGTTATTTTGTACTAATAGCTCGGGGAGTCGTCAGGGCAGCAACTAGGGATTACTTTCAGTGAGCTTCAACATTCGAGGCGAGTCTCTTCACTGTACTATGGATCGAATGCACCAATTCTGACCATGTGGTTTATGTTTTATAGGAAGATCCGAGGGTGGCCCTTGGCAATTATATGAAAGACCGAGAGGTGGCTCCTGGCAATCTGTATGCAAGACCAAAGTCTGAACTTTGGCAGTTAATTAGTTAAGTAGTTGTAGATCGTATGCTAGTTGTCTTTGTGATACTTGCATGGAATGCCAGGAGACGGATCCTGGCACTTGTCTGTAAGAACCAGGGTTTTGGCCCCCGGCGTGGCATGAAAGACCATGATATAGCATGTGGCATAATGACAAGACTATGTTTGACATATAGCACTTTATTGATTGTTGGATATGTATGATATGTATGACTCGTTTGATACGTATGATATGTGATATTTGGGGAAGTCACCAAGTTGTGCTTACAGTTTGTGGTTTATGGTTCCAGGTACTTCTAGTTCGAAAAGGAAGGGTCCGACTTGATCGCAACGCATACACCCATGTTTTTTCGCAATTCATGATTTTGGGAATTTACTTTGATAATTGTTTTACTCTAGAATACTTTTAAATGTTTGAATAAAGATAAATGAATGTTTGAATATATATATATTAAAATTAAAATTTTTACCCTATGATTTTCGAGGTGTTAGAATATATATATATATATATATATATATATATATATATATATATATATATATATATATATATATATATATATATATATATATATATATACTAATTTTCTCTTAAATACAATATCTTATTAACGATATCCATGAATCATATAAACACAGGGAAAACGCCCAAGTCATAGGAATATTAATGGGGGTAAATGGGACGGAAAGTACATCCCCGCCTTAGCCCTCATTATCGATTGATTTTGGTATGTCTTTTTTGGGCTAAAAACAGTTCTTATTTTAGCTAAAAGAAACTATTTTTTGGTAACAAATAATTATTTATAGCATAATTTTACATGTTAAAAACAAAAAAGTTATGGCATCTTAAAAACATGGGAAATCTCCAATAAAGTCCTAAAATTTTAGCTCGGTTTATGTTTTAATCCTAAACTAATTTTTGTTTACGAAAAAGTCCCAAAAACCGGCAAAAGTTTGCATTTTGACCCTTTTTGACTGGTTGGAACCGGTAACAAATTAATTTAGGACTATTTCATAAATTGACCCAAAATATTGGGACTTTTCTGCAAAAACAAAAAATATTAGGGTTTTTCTGCAAACAAAAATCTTATTATTATTATATTAAAAGTATAAATAAGTATACTATTTTTTAAATTTGTTATTATTAATATTATTAATAATACATATAAATACATTTAAATTAAAAAAATATTAAAGACATTTTATAAAGGTGAAGGTTAAGTGGATGATAATGCTTTAAGCTTTGTAATCATGAATGTCTGTTTGTATATTCTAACTTTGTATATGGTCATTTCACATTTGTTATTATTGTTTTTAATTCAGAATATTAACATTTAACAATTTAAAAGAAGCTACTGATTTTTCAAATTGTTTACAAATAGTGAGCATGTGATATGCGTGTATGTCTTGTGTGTAAGTATTTTTGAATTACTAACATGTATGTTGCTCTTTTTCATTACTTTATCTTTGTGGTTTTTTGGAAAGATAGCAGATATAATGTGATAAAGCAAAATAAATCATATTACTTTCTATTAAATAATATATTTTAATTAATATTTTCGAATTTTGATATGGGCTACCAATGTAAATATTTATTGTAGATCTGTTGGATTTGAAAAGAAATCATTCTACCTTAAGAAATTTTATATACAAAGTGAGAAATCCTTTTATCTTAAACTATTTATACATAATTTTATATATAGACAACTTTTTTTAAATTGTTAAGTGTTAATATTTTGAATTGAAAACAATAATAAGAAATGTGAAATGATCATATACAAAGTGAGGACATACAAGTCGTGATTTCTTTAATATATTTTTATTTAAGTGTATTTATATGTATTATTAAATATATTAATAATAATGAATTCAAAAATTAATATACTTGTTAATAATAATAATAATAATAATAATAATAATAATAATAATGTTTTTGTTTGCAGAAAACTCCTAATATTTTTTTTTTGCAGAAAAAATCCCAATATTTTAAGTCATTTTGTGAAATAGTCCCAATATTTTATGTTAGTTTATGAAATAGTCCCAAATTAATTTGTTGTCGGTTCCAACCGGTCAAAAGGGGTCAAAATGAATACTTTTGCCAGTTTTTTGGACTTTTTCGTAAACAAAAATTAGTTTATGACTAAAACGTAAACCGGACCAAAATTTTAGGATTTTATTGGAGATTTTCCTAAAAACATTATAATAAAAACTTAAAAACATGTTTTTTATTGAATTTTAGAACTCAAAATTATATTATTATTTATTATATTTATATAACTAATATATATAAAATTTATTAATGGGACCCCATCAGGGTTTCAGGACAGAACTGTCCGCCCCGTCCCGGTCTCCATTTTTTTTAAATAAATACTCTAAAACGGGACGAGTCTTTACCAAATCATTTGACATCCAATTAAATATAGAGTAAATTATATTTTCAGCTTAATCTTTGAAAATTTGATAAAATGTATCCTTGTGGTTTAAAGAAGTTACACTTTATATCCCTAGTTCATGTAACATTTATGTCAATAAAAATTATAAAATTTTATAATGATAAATCAAAAAATACAAATTTGAAAACTAGTGCTTAAATCTTTAAAAAAAAAAAGTTTACTACATAAATACAATAATTTGCTTACTTTTAATGATACTGTAAACTTTTCTATAATTTTAACGATTCTTGACACGTTTGAATATATCATCTTAAATAACAAAGTTAATTGTTAACCCTACTTAAAAATATAACATTCTCTCTCCTTCACAATGTCACACGGTCTCTCTTAAAAGGACCATCACATGTATCTTGTAGTTAAGAGAGAGAGATAGGGAGAGAGAGAGAATCACAGTAGCAAAGGAGAGGCCAGGAAAATTTCAGAAATCCACAAATAGAGATAGCTCCCAAGACACACTCTTATCCTTATATCTTCATCTTCATATATCTTCACATATCAACCAATTCTTCATTAATTTCTCAAATGGCATTTTCCATTCGCCATTGAAGAGCCCTCTTTTTTCCATTCCATTCTCAATACACGGAAACAATAAAAACAACTCAGAAGCTATGGCACCGAGGTCCAACAGAGGAAAAGGAAACAAAACCAAAGCCGATAAGAAGAAGAAGGAAGAGAAAGGTCTTCGTCTTCTTCTTCTCTTAATCTTCTCTGTTCTCTAATCGGAATCTCATTCAGAATCAATAACATTTACAGTAATATGATTTTTAATTTTTGCAGTTGTTCCTAGTGTTCTAGACATAACTATCATCACTCCTTATGAAACTCAAGTTATACTCAAGGTAAATTACAACTAAGGATTTTCGAATTCATTTACTTTGTTAGATGGATTTCAACTTAATTTGTAACGAAAATGCAGGGCATCTCCACAGACAAAATACTCGACGTGAAGAAATTACTAGCTGTTAATGTCGATACTTGCCATCTAACCAATTACTCTCTCTCACACGAGGTGAACTTCCCAAAGAAATTCACGATAATTGCACTAATTTGGTTTGAACATTTCAGATTAATTATCAATAACACTCATTACTAATTACTAAAACTATTGATGAATAACTACTATGTTTTCGGCGCTAATTTCAATCCTTGATTATTGGAGAAATCGGTGACAAAACTAATTTCTAGAGCCTAAATTCTGAAACTCACAACACCATTAAAGCTGTAATTAATGATGAACAGCATGTCATAGTGAAATTGGTCTGTATTTGAAAATTTTGGCTCTAGAAATAAGGGGTAGACTGTAATTAATTATTGGCATTGAAAATGTCTGTAAATCTGTAATAATTTGTTGGCATTGAATAATTTTAAACAGGTTAAAGGAGCAAAGTTGAATGATAGGGTGGATTTGGTTTCTTTGAAGCCATGTTTGATGAAGATGGTTGAAGGTAGGTTGCTTTTTTCACCAATATCCCACAAAACTACAAACCATAAATCATCGATTAAATCTTATACATACATTTATATCAACATATATATATATATATATATATATATATATATATATATATATATATATATATATATATATATATATATATATATATGCATATAAATGTATGTATTTAGGTATAATATTTTCTTAACTTTTTTTGGGTTTTTAATATTTGTTATCTACAACTCCTATGAAATATCGCTTGTCTAGATCTTTGGATGCAGTTCAAACAAGGAAAAAAATTGAAAGCTTTTTACAGAAAAAATTGACTGCATATTCTTAAAGCTGTCATATTTATTAAAGAAATCACAGCTACATAAGATAGATTTCTTTAAATAGTAATGTTTTTTTGTAAAAAGGTTTCAGTTAAAAGAATATTTATTTATTGTTATTGTTATTATTACATTATAAAATTGATTTTTGTTGAAATTGTTAGTTTCATTAAAGTGCCACCTCTAGTTTTATTAAATTGCCTATATGTATTCAATGTTTCTCGTTTACATAAAAAGATTATTTATTTACTTATTAATGCCTATATATTATATGTTTTTTTTTTTACTAAATTATATGTTTTTTGAAAAACAAAAATTTATTGATATAAAGGCATATTCTACCAAAATGCCCATGGGATACATGACAAAATTATTGTGTACACCAATGTCGTACGCTATGGCATGTTCTTTACTTATTTTTAAAGGCTCACCCAATCGTGAATTTAAATGATTACACAAACCTCGAAAAATAATATAAAAAGCCCAATTGGGAGGATAGAAAAACTATTAAATATTTCTGCCAATTATCTTTATTTTAGTATTAAATAATTAAGATTGCGGAATTTCAAACAAATATTATACAACAAAAGTTCTAATTCTTTCACTGATTGTTTTTGCTTCGGATTGTAGCTTTAAATAGTCAATGTTACAGAAACAATATTATGATTGTAATAAAATAACTTTTATAATGATATTTTATACATAATTATTATTATTAGTTTTTAAATTAAGAATAATTTAAACTCAAACAAAAGTTTTGTATGAAATCGATGTGTTTTAATAGGTACAGAAATACTCATTTCACCTGTTACATATAAGTTTCGTCTTATTAATTTTACCACTTTATATAACCCAATGGGTTCATTCTGCCACCAGTAATAAACTTTACAAAATTAAAAATCATGACTATTGACTAGTGAACTTTTTTTTTTTATATAATTTTTTAGTTATACTTCTGTCTTTTGATTTCCTTCAAAGTTTTCCTTATTATTTATTTATGTCTATTAATTTCCATAAAAGCTTCCTTTGCAATATTCCCAACTTGTCCATTTTTGTCGGGTAGTTTCACAATTATATAAAATTACCAAAATAACTTTCTTACTTTTTATATTTTTATGGAATTTGGAGTTTTACATGTTTATAACGCTCTTGTAGATACGTATCTGTTCGGATAAAGTAAATTTGAGAACTATTTTATTAAAAAATTAAAATTAAAACAATTTCATAAATTAATACTTTTGAAAAGTTACATAATTATATATTATATATAAGTAATATGGTATAACGGAATAGCTCATGATATATACTATAAATTAACGAGATATGTTTTTGTATTTATTTAGCATAGCAAGCTATTATTTAATTAGTTGATATAATGTTCATCATTAAAATTACAGACATAATATAAAATTATATGTCAGAAGATTTATTTTTATAATGTCATGTGATATTTAATTTCTCTTTTGAAAAATAAACTATATCGATTTATAGAATATTTGTAAAATTTGAAGACACGTGTTTTTTATTTACAAAATTGCCATTGACATTTTTGAAGAGGACTACACGGAGGAGGCGCATGCGGTGGCGCACGTGCGGAGACTATTGGATATCGTCGCGAGCACAACGCGTTTCGGGAAGCCCAAGGCGAGAAGAGCCACCACAGTCGCCGGAGGAGAAGCTCGATCCAAGAAGGGACGATCTCAAAATGTGCAGGTTACAGCCGGCCGACCTGTCTCTCCCTTGTCTGATGGAGGAGAAACCGTTGAAAATGGCGGTTCCTCCGAAACAGAGACAACTGCGGCTGCAACTTCTCCGGTATCGGGGAACCTCGACATGGCAGCCATTCATCCGGTTCCGAAGCTCTCCGATTTCTACGAATTCTTCTCTTTCTCAAATCTCTCTCCACCTATCTTACGTAAGCACCAGGTTTCCTTTTGAGTTTTCGTTCTTATCGGAGATTAACGCCAGTTTAATTAATCGATCTTTGGCCTTTTTAATTCTCAGAATTGAAAAGAATTGATGGCCAGGATGCGCAGGAGAAGCGCGAGGGCGATCACTTCGAAATGCAGGTTCTCTCTCAAACTCACACACATTGTTTCTCGAGACGAAACTCCATTGTCACACAATTATGAAATCATAAATTGCCATCACAACTTAAGAAGTTGTTTGTGTCGATCATAAAATTCAACATACTTTGAAGAAAAAACAGTGAATTATTCGCAAAGATGATAATATCTTCTCTATTTGCAGATTAAAATATGTAACGGAAAGTTATTTCAAGTAGTTGCATCCACGAAGGGCTTCTACGCCTTGGGAAAGCAGTTTTTGCAAAGCCATTCCCTGGTGGATCTTCTTCAACAGCTCAGCCAAGCTTTTGCTAACGTCCGTATATTATTTCCTTTTCTGCTTCATCTCTATGTTCTCTCTTCTATTAATTGGAAGAAGTGTGTAAGAGAAAAATACTCAATTTTATGTTGAAATTATGCAGGCGTATGATTCCTTGATGAAAGCCTACTTAGAACATAATAAGGTAATATATAATTGATGCTATAAGAGTGTAATTGGAAACTGACATTATGTATTTTTTCAGTTTGGTAATCTTCCATATGGTTTTCGGGCGAACACTTGGTTAGTTCCTCCATCCATTTTGGACTCAGAATCAAACTTCCAGCCACTTCCATCAGAAGATGAAAACTGGGGTGGCAATGGTGGAGGCCAAGGGCAAAATGGTCAACATGACCATAGACCATGGGCCACAGAGTTTGCAATATTAGCCAACCTTCCTTGCAAGACTGAGGAAGAAAGGGTGATTCGTGATCGAAAGGCATTCTTGCTTCATAGCTTGTTTGTTGATGTCTCTATCTTTAAAGCTGTTTCAACCATACGCAAAGTCATAGATTCTGTTGCAACATCAAACTGTTCTCCAGGATCAATAGTACGTGAGGATCGTGTGGGAGACTTGTTTATTACAGTGAGGCGTGATGCAGCTGATGCAAGCTCAAAGTCAGAAGTGAAGGTAGTTGGTGTTGGATCTCCTACCATGTCTTCTGAGGAAGTTGCTATAACAAATTTACTCAAAGGAATAACAGCAGATGAGAGTGCAGTAGTCCATGTAAGTATGCCTTAACTCATTCTTCTGCTAGCTATGGAATATTGGAATCTAAATAAATATAGCCAACTTTTACTGTTTACAGGACACCACCTCCCTGGGTACTGTATTTGTAAGACATTGTGGATATACAGCAACTGTAAAGATTGTTGGTGACATCAAAAAGGCAAAGTTCATATCACAAGATATATCGATTGATGATCAACCAGAAGGTGGAGCTAATTCCCTTAACATTAACAGGTATGGAATTAATAAACTCCAAGATTATAAACTGATACTTCTGGATCACCAAATCACAATAACAAAAGGTCCCCAAAATCAGTAGTAAATTAGTAACATAAAACTTGGTTATATGGAACCTTTTACAGCTTAAGGGCTCTGCTTCCCAACTCAAGAGATCTGGAATTATCAGGATCTCTATCATCTGAACAGGGGAATGTTGAAGCTTCAAGGGGTTTGGTTAAACAAGTAATAAAAGAAAGTTTGAAGAATCTGGAAAAGTCAGAAGCTTCTGGAAAGCCTATCAGATGGGAATTGGGATCTTGTTGGGTACAGCATCTGCAAAAGCAGGAAGCACCATCAGGAGACAGTTCACCCAATGAAGATAAAGCTGAAACAGTGGTTAAAGGCTTAGGAAAACAATTTAAAATGCTGAAAAAGCGGGAAAAGAAGCAAAATGATGCTGATTCCTCTGATGAAACAGAAGAAAACAATTTAGGTCAAGAAAGCAGTGTCAGTGAGTCAGACATCAAAGAGTCAAACTCGGAGTCAGAGCTGACTAAACTGATTCCAGAAGAAGCCTTCTTAAGGTTGAAAGAAAGTGGAACTGGTCTTCATTTGAAGGTTTGTTCATCTCTTTTCAAAAGTAAACGCAAGGAATTACTTTCACATACTTTGTTTGAAAAGGCTAAGTGCTCTCTTTAATCTTTATATGCTCCTTGTATAACAGTCACGAGATGAGCTTATTGAAATGGCACATGCTTATTATGATGAAGTTGCATTGCCTAAACTGGTAATATACTTTTTTACATAATAAATTTTACCATATACTTGAATGGCAAAATGAAAATTTTGGTCTCTTTTTTAGGTGACAGATTTTGCATCACTTGAACTTTCTCCAGTTGATGGGCGAACACTCACTGATTTCATGCATTTAAGAGGGCTACGTATGCGCTCTTTAGGACGTGTGGTGAGTTTTTTGAATAATGTTCCAAGATTTCCGTTTACATTTATTAATAAATAAAAAAATAATAAATATCTGACCTACTCTAGTTTTACTAATTAGGTTGAACTTGCTGAGAAGCTTCCTCATATACGATCACTATGTATTCATGAGATGGTGACACGTGCCTTTAAGCATATAATTGAAGCTGTTGTTGCTTCTGTTGAAAACTTTGCTGAGCTGTCAGCAACAATTGTGTCAGCTTTAAATTTCTTGTTTGGGGTGTGGGGAATAGATGATAAGAGTAAAGAATTTACTGAAGATCAAAGTCTTAAGCTACATTGGTTGCAATCTTTTTTGGCAAAAAGATATGATTGGAAGATGAAGGATGAATACCAACAGTTGAGGAAGTTATCAGTTCTACGTGGATTGTGTCACAAGGTACCATTTCGTATGAACTGTTTATTTAGTTTTGAAATTTTTTTAAAAATAAAATACTGATAGCTTCAACCACATCCAGATTGGTTTGGAATTGGTTTCACGAGACTATGATATGGAAACTCCAAATCCATTTAGGAGTTCTGATGTTATCAGCATGGTCCCAGTTTGTAAGGTAGCTCTCTCTCTCTCTCTCTCTCTCTCACACACACACACACACACACACACAAGTCAAGGACATGTATTGGATAAAGTGGCTGAATGGATAATGATTTCTGTCTGGATAAAATGTTGAATGCATGAAGTCTCTTCCTTTTTTGAACAGAAATCAACTATCTGAATCTGAGTAAATGACCATTTTACCCTTCTGTAAAGACATGATGGTAAATAACAAATGGTTGCTTATTTAAGAACTGTTGTAAATCACAGCTTATATTCTATAAATAATAGTACAAATTTAGTTATATTTAATCATAATATGATTAGTAACTTCAAATTGAACACAATATTTAATCATAATATTAATAATAATTCAAACTGTACCTAATAGTTAAGAATTGTTTTGACACTTTCTAAATTTCAGCTTTATCAAATATATTTAGCCAAGAAGGGTTTAATTAGTTTTGATCTTCATAAGTTATTAGACTTGAAAATTAATTCAAAGTTGAGTATTTAACAATGTTATTCACATTTTTATAATCTTATTTGCTAATTAGGTAATCCAAAGTTGAATATTTTATAATCTCATTAGTTAATTTCCCTAAAATTGGATGAAAAGTACTAATCAATATAAGAAAAAGTAAGGGAAAATAGGTACAGGGTTAGTGTCTGAGTACATTAAACTAGTTTTTTTTTTGGCTTAACCCATTAAGTCATTCTGTGTAGATCAAGTAAAAAAGAAACAACCCCTAACATTGATGTATATGTAACAGCACGTATTATGTTCTTCTGCTGATGGGCGGACGTTACTAGAGTCTTCCAAAATTGCCCTTGATAAAGGAAAACTAGAAGATGCAGTTAACTATGGAACCAAGGTAACATTAAATAAAAAAGTTTCATTCTTTACATGAATAAAAGCAAGGTGTTATTTGTTAACATTTGTATATACTATATACAATATTGAAGGCACTTGCAAAGATGATAGCTGTATGTGGCCCTTATCACCGAACCACTGCTAGTGCATACAGCCTCCTTGCAGTTGTTCTTTACCACACTGGTGACTTCAATCAGGTAAATAAATTCATGTAAAACTCTATTTACTATTCTCATGGAAAAATCTACCTTTTTTTAAAATAATTATAATCTTGTATAATGTAGGCAACAATTTATCAACAAAGGGCTTTGGACATAAATGAGAGAGAACTTGGGCTTGATCATCCAGACACAATGAAAAGTTACGGGGACCTTTCGGTCTTTTACTATCGTCTCCAACATATTGAACTGGCACTCAAGTAAGTCAATCATGCTGGCTTTTTAGTCAAAGATTGGACCAGGTGGTTAATGATTAATAAAATAAAATAATAAATTAATATTACATTGTGATTGTGTTTTCACAGATACGTCAACCGTGCTCTGTTTCTTTTGTATTTCACTTGTGGGCTCTCGCACCCCAACACAGCTGCTACTTATATTAATGTGGCTATGATGGAAGAGGGTATGGGAAATGTCCATGTTGCCCTCAGATACCTTCATGAAGCCTTAAAGTGTAACCAAAGATTACTAGGAGCTGATCACATACAGGTCCCTCTCTCTCTCACCCTCTCTCTCTCTCTCTCACACACACACACAGTTGTTTGACTAAATATGTTTTGACTCTACAGACTGCTGCAAGCTATCATGCCATAGCTATAGCTCTTTCATTGATGGAAGCTTATTCCTTAAGCGTCCAACATGAGCAAACTACATTGCAGATTCTTCAAGCAAAATTGGGAGTAGAGGATCTTCGTACTCAGGTAAGCATTTTACATTAAATTTTTTACCCATTATAGCAATGAGATTTGAATTATGAGATGGCATAAGCCTTAGAGCAGATTTCAGATGATGGTGTATTGATTTGTGTTTTCTTTTTTAATTTTGATGTGATTAGGATGCTGCTGCATGGCTTGAATATTTTGAATCAAAAGCATTAGAGCAGCAAGAAGCAGCAAGAAATGGAACTCCAAAACCAGATGCATCAATTGCAAGCAAGGGTCATCTTAGGTATTAATATGGTATATCCAATTTTTACTCAAATGTAGAAGACTGTTTAATAGTTTACCTCTGTTGACTAATAAATTTACTTTGACTTCATTCTTGCAGTGTATCAGATCTACTTGATTTCATTAATCCAGATCAGGATTCCAAGGGAGGAGATGGACAGAGGAAACGTCGTACCAAGGTAGTTAAATACAGAGTTTAACAAAGCAACAAAAGTTTTTTTTTAATAAATATATTTTTTTAAGTACTTAACTTGACCTACAAACAAGGTTTGTTTGGTTGGATGGAATGGAATTGGATGGGGTAATGGAATTAGCAAGGTGATGGAATGAATGATTACATTCCATGGTCATGTTTGGTTAGCCTAGTTGAACGAAATAAATTTTTGAATGGAGTTTCTATATTATGTGTAAGTAAAAAGATATATAACTTTAAATATATTCTATACATTATTGTAATTACAATTAACGAACTTGAATGTGGAAACCAGAAAATGAAAAATAAAATAAAGTATGTTCTGCTACTATATTATCAGGCATCACCAGTTGGCGAAAAGTCTCCTGAAGTACAAACACAAACAGATTCAAAAAACAATGATACTGTTGAAACCACTACTATTCAAGAAGATGAACCAGAGGTGGTTATCCAAAAAGCAAAAAAGGACGAAAATACCCCTAAAAATGTAACACTAGTCACAGAAGAATTCCAAGAACCAATCTCCGATGAAGGATGGCAAGAAGCCAATCCAAAGATCCGGTCAGGGTCAGGACACACGGGTCAAAAAAAGTTCAACAGAAGACGTCCCGACCTAACCAAACTACACGTCCAGGAAAAAAAGGAAGCCATTGTCATTCCAAAAGTAACCCCAAGAACAAGTTCAATTTCCAAAATCACCCCTAGGGTTTCCCCAACTACCGCAACTATGGCTTCCAAGTCTGTCTCATACAAAGCAGTTGCAGTCGCCCCACCAGGTACAATTCTCAAACCCTTACTCGAAAAACAAGAACTTCACGAGGACAAAAACGTAAAAAACATCGCATCAGAGGATGATGTCAAGAACGAACAACAACTACAACCTGATGTTGTGGATCTCACAATACCAGAGGATGAAGTCATAAAAGAAGTCGACACAGTTCACGAAACTACACCAGAATCAGAAAAGTCAACGGATGAAAATAAAGATTCAGAAACAAGTAGTAACATAACAGACAATACAACCGAAACAAATGGAAGCAAACTTTCAGCTTCAGCTCAACCATTCAGCCCTCAAAGCAACGTGTATGATCTCATCCCCGAATATCCACCAATCGCAGCTCGAGTTCCGTGTGGGCCCCGCTCGCCGTTATACTACCGAATGACACAATCCCAATCGTTTCGGTTAAAAAACGGGTTCTTAAAATACCAAATCCCCGGAAGTGGGTTCGGGTCCGGGTCTGGGTCTAGCCCACGGATCATGAACCCGCATGCACCCGAGTTCGTCCCAAAACGGGCCTGGCAGGGTTCGGAAGGTGGGACAATTGGGTCCGGGTCAGGGTCGAGTGAAGATGAGAAGGTGAAAAAGATGAGTTCGGATGTTGAGAAAGCTGAGCTGGCGAGACAGATTTTGTTGAGTTTTATTGTGAAGTCAGTTCGTGATAACTCGGAGGTGAAAAGTGAAAGTGAAAGTGGAGTGGTTAAAAGTGATAGTGCACCCCCACAGTCACAGTCACAAACACAGACACCTGCGATTATGAAGATAATTTATGGGGATGATGAAGGAGTGGTGGAGAAAAATAAAGATGATAATGGAAATGGAAATGGAGACGGTGAAGGGTTTGTTATGGTGACGAAAAGGAGAAGGAATAAACAGCAGTTTGCAAGTGGGGTGAGTGGGTTGTATGGACATACTCAACAGCAATCTGTGTCTGCTTCCGTGCGTTGAGTTGAGTTGAGTTGAGTTGAATGAATAAAATTGGTTCAAATCTGTTGCGATTATTGTTGTTGTTACTCTTGGTGTAAGAGGTTTTGTTTGACTCATAATAATAAAATCATTAATGTTTGGTTTATGTAACATTAAATCTAACAACTGGGTTGTTACTTTTTTTCAAACATGACCATTTTGTTTTTGGATCAAATCAGTAAAAGGATAAAATACTCTTTTTACTAACATTTAACGGCAATGTTTAACAGAGATGGTGATAAAGACCATAATAAATCGGAAGGGACTGCCTATGTAACAAAAAGTAAGATTGGACACAAGTTGTAATTAAAGATTATTTGAAAATAAGTATAATAATTTACTTAATATTGATCTATTTGATACATTGAATGATTATAGCAATTGACATATTTTGTATCCAGCCTTCAGTTCACAAACCAACAACAATTTTTGGTTGTTATATCAATAAGCTATTAAAAAAAACTATATTTAAATGAATTGGTAATTAAGCCTTTTTATTAAAAAAAAAGTGTTATATCAATAAGCTATTGAAAAATCTATATTTTAATATGTTGAAAATGGGTAAATGTATTGGAATTTTTGTTTGAAAACATGTTTTTAAAGATAACAAGTCTTGTGTAATATGTTATCACGATCGGGTTCAAAATCATTTGGATATATATATATATATATATATATATATATATATATATATATATATATATATATATATATATATATATATATATATATATATATATATATATATATAATTTTGTTTCTAGTAATTATTGTGTGCCAGAATCCACAGATTTGGACCATCGGATAGAATATAATCAAAGGTAATTATCTGAGGGTCTATGATAGTAGAATATGATAACATATACCATATAAACACACAAATTTCAGCATAAGGACATTTTAGTCAATTAACCTATATTAAAAAAGGAAATTTTCGGATTTTTAAGGATAATTAATTCCTTTATTTTTAAAAATCTGAATATTTTAAATTAATTCAAAATTAGAAATTCGATTTTATTCTATCATAATGGTAGAATGTTAACCATAAACTAGTAAATATATTCGTCGATTATATTCTGTCAGAATGACAGAATGCCAACCGTAAATTAGTAAATACATTCTAAAAAGAATACACAAAATCAATTATTGAACTAATAATATCCAAATAATTACATTGTATGATTATGATTCATTTAATAATAACAACATTCTGAAAGAAAAAAAAACATCACAATCTAACAAAAACACTAATATATTCTAATAGAATATTATTTAGCAAGACTTTATACATTGTAGCATAACACATTCTGGTATAATACACTCTCGTTCTCTATGTTTTCTTCCTTCTCCACATCAATGTTAGCCTCTTCAAAACCTAAATCCACAAAGAAAACATAATCAAGTTTCAAAAATTAAAAAAAATCAATGCATTCTAAGAGAATAAAAACTATAAATTCTGACATAATGTACTTGTTGTTGATAATTATTCTCAAACATTCTAACAGAATACATCTATATAAAATAAATTCTAATAGAATCAACAGCAACTCATTCTTAAGTACTTGAAGTTCATCCTCACTTGAGCTACCATCAACGACAAAAACAAACGTCGGTTGAATCGTCAACACACATCTGCATTCGTTGCCAGTCAAGAACACAAGAAACAAACACCCATGAATTCCCCTGTCAAATACCAAACACCCATCTTCCCTTTTTGAAATACCAACTAAGCAAAGTATTGTAGGATTTGAGTTGCAAAGAGGGTAAGGTGTTGTTTGTTTTTCTATAAAAACCTCTTCAAACCACTTATTGCTGCGCGGCGCAGCACACGCGCAACACTTTCCCTCTCGCAGCAGTTTGTTTTTTGGAAGACTTCAGACTACAAAACCTCTGCGCGTGTGCTGCGTGGCGCAACACTTGACTTGCCTCTTCTAACCTCTTCAGCTTTCATTTTTTCTAAGTGTTTTTTTAAGAATTTTTGTATAACTTTTTTTTTTTTTAATTTCTTTTTTTTAAACTTTGATTTTCTTAAATTTTTATTTACGGATGTGATATAATTTATTTTTATAATTTCCACAATTTTTTTAATTTGTTTTTTTTTTTTAATTTTTTTACCGTTTTATTAATAATATTTTCAATTTCAGTTACATTTTTTTTAACGTGTGTAATTTTTTACGAACTTTGTAGACAACGTTTGCAATACTTTCTTAAATTTTTTATTATTTTCTTTTTTAATGCTTTTTTTAAATTAGTTTTTTTTTTCTAGAATAAAACTATTAGCTTCTTTTACATTTTTTTATGTTTTTTTTTTTTTAAAAAAAAAGTTTTATATTTTTGTTTTTTACATGTTATTGTTATTATTATTTCAATGTTTTAAGACTAGAATTATTAAATTTCAATGTTGAGAATTATTTCAGTTTATAAAATTAGTTTATTTAAATTTTAGTTTACCGCAGCAGTTTGCAGATGTTAAAAAACAAACGTGCTTCTTATTATAGGCTGCAACCGTTTGTTCCACCTCTTCTGCTACAGAGGATTGCAGAGGTGGTCTGCAGACTTCATGAATTTTCGCTTCGAAAAAACAAACAGCACCTAAGTGTCCATCAAAGCAGCAAAAATGGAGTTTGAATTGATACCCATGTCAGATAATTGTGTAAAAATTGATTTAGCAGAGGCATGCATTCTTGCTTTCACTAGTATATGAACAGTTATACAGTAAACATACGTGAGATTCTTGAGTTGTTGAAAAGCAGGTTGTTTGATTACCCAATTGAGAAATTTCAAAGCTAGGTTTCCATGAACTGGCCTGAGGGAAACCCGTTTATAGTTCATTTGAGAAGAAACCAGTAAGAAGAAGGTCGTAAAGAAATCAAACCTGATGATGAAGACGACGAGAGTTCCATCATAGAAGACCACCTGTTGGTGCGCTTGGAAGGAGATATGGCGGAAGTGAAGGGTCTATGGGTTATTACAATCCAAATTTATAGAGATACATTACAAATGGGTAGGTCAAATTAGATGCTAAACTTGAAATTGAAATCAAAATTGAAACAAAGATGGATGAAAAGAGGGAAACAGGGGATTCCATACAGTAGAGGTGCGGGGTGCCAATCGGAGAACGTTAGATGGATGCAAAGAGGGAAACAAGCCCTAGGTCGAAAAAGGGTAGTAGTTACCCCTTGAACCAATTGTTTTTTTTTAGAAAAAGCGTGAATTGGATGGTGATGTTATAGGATTGTGCAAACTGATTCCTAATTCAATGGGATATTCTGTGGTGTGCGTCGACTGGAATAAGAAAGAAGAAATCGAGGTCTTGATCGGTTGTGTCGTGGGGTATCGATCAGACGATCACCATAGCTGTGGCTCCAATTCTTCGTTCCAAACTTGTTGAATCGGTCAAGATGTAATTCCTTGAATATATGACACGATGCAAGAGAGACTAGGTCAAAAATATTGATTTTATTTCCTTAATTGCAGGATTTCAATTAAATGATTCCTTAATTAAAAAGTACAAAATATCCAATATACCCTTAAATGATTTATTTAATTGTTTATTATTTTCTAAATTCCTATTGGTGCATTTATGCACATAATAGTTGCTAGAAACATTTGAACTTAACTATATATATATATATACATATATATATATATATATATATATATATATATATATATATATATATATATATATATAAAATGGTCCCTCACTTTGCTCCTTATTCTTTCTTTATTTTGACATTTTTGGTCATTGCAATCAATATTTTTACACTTTTTAGCAACCTTTTAATATTTAAAGTTTTGCTAACGGTTTGACAACTTTGATCAATTTTCTAAAAATTTGTTATTTCCTACCCCTTTAATTCTTTAACCGTTTTGAAACTTCTAATCCTTGCAGTCAGAACTCCGAACTTTTCATCCTTTCACTTTCTACGTCTGTCATATTTATCGATTCGGAAACAATATTGAAAGATTATAGCCCCGCGGAACGGGGTAACCTTTCTAGTTGATATAAATGAAGTGTGTGGTTAACAACATATCCAAAATACATAACGTGACATGCAATTATTTATTAATTATCATTTTGTATAAATTTATTTGGTTAATTTATTGTATACTTAACGAGTCAAATCACATGATCACAATGAATGATTAAAACGACTGTGACGCTTTTATGAAGAATAAGATGGATCGTTCTTCGGCGACGTGAGAGGAAACAAAACTAAGAGTTCGGGTTCGGGTTCTCGAATCGGACTCGGGTGCAAGTAAAAACCCTTCTCCGCAATGGCTTTCTCTTCTTCTCCTTCTTCTTTTTCTATCGGCGTTCCTGGGCTCCCTCTTCCACAAACAGCCAGCGTCGACACCGGCGATTCCTCCACCATCTTATCATCCCCACCGACAAACCCTACTACACTCCTGTCTCTCCCCACCACCAACGGAGACATGAAACAGACAGGCTTTGATACGTTGCTGAGAGTGATCTCGAGTTTCTTAACACTTTTCCTTCGTTCTTGAAGTTTATAACCGGATCTCCGGTGAGCAGTGGGTTTTCCGGCGTTGCGGAAGGGGATGGAGTTTGGGAGTTTGTGGGCGGTGTCTCCGGTGAGTCTTTGGACGACGGCCCGGAAGTTAGAAGGGTCTGCTTGCACGAAGGTGGTGGAGTGTTGTGGTTTTAGATGAGGATCCGGGTCGGGTCCTTCTGAAGAAGCCATGAAAATTGAAAAAAAAATTATTAATTAATAATAAATATTACTTAGATATAAACGAAGAGAGAAAATGGGGAATGAAATGGATGTGATCAAACAATGTGGCATGTGGATATATACTGAAGCTAAAACTAACCAACGACAACATAACAGATGTAGGATTTTGATATGTGTTATGAGTTTTGACATGCAAATTGGGTTTAGATTTATGTTGCTTTTGGTTGTTTTGCTGTTTCTGTTATCAAACACTTTCTTACTTCACCGCCACGGGAGCTTCTTTGTCTTGATGCTTAACAGATTTTGTTTTATAAAACTTATCAAATAAATAAAGTTGTATGATAATATATATATATATATATATATATATATATATATATATATATATATATATATATATATATATATATATATGAAATGACACAAATGCCTATTATATTTTCTACTATAGGTCTTAGTTATTAAAGTTATTTTATTGCTTTATATGGATATAACATTAGAAGTAACCTGTGTTTTTAGTCATCCAGACCTATTTTAACCAGTTTCAATGGGCACATCAAACGTGTTTTACCACCACACTTTATATGTCTGTTGAATATT